AGTTTCACCTCATGATTTAAATAGATGACCTCATTTTTAAACATGACCTCTAGTTCCAGATTCTCCAGTAAGAGGAAACACCCCCTCCACATTTATCCTTGGTCTGGTAAACCTCTGAATGGGATCCAATTCAGTTACATCCTTACTTAAATAATTGATCAATATTGTACACATTACTCTGGATTATGGCTCACCAATGTCCTATATAAGTGAAACATAACCTCCATACTTTTGTTACTTATTCGAGGGGAATAGAATACATTCTATTAGCTTTCCTAATTAATTGCTGTACCTACATACTAATCTTTAGTGATTCATGGAATAGAACACAGATTGCTCTGCAGTCTCTTGCCATTTCAAAAATACATTTTTTTATTCTTCCTGCCAAAATGGACAATTTCACATCTTCCCACATTATACTCCAATTGCCAGATCTTTATCTGCTCACATTATTTGTATAACAAAGAACACCAGATGTTCAAGATCTGAAACACATCTAAACAAATTGCCCGAGAGAACAGTGTTAATGCTTCAAGTCCAATAACCCTTCTTCAGAACTATTTATATCTTCTATAATAAGTGTGGAGCTGGAGCAGGCCAGGCAGCATCAGAGGAACTTCATTCCTCATCCAGTCCAATCTGGTTTACTCCACACTATAGCACTGAAATAGCCCTTAAAGTCACAAATGACATCAATGTGATTGTTGTCATTATAAACCACTCTTTGCAGTCTTTTGCATAGTTGACCACACAACCCAACTATGTACAGCTTTCCTTGCCTGATTCTACTTCATTCCATCTAATTGTAGGTAAAGAAACATTTCCAATAATTTCTCTTTGCACATGGTACTACCCTGGAATTCCCTGAAATCTACCCTTAGTCTTCTCTCGTTTCTTCATTTACAATAGCACCAATGTTCAATGTTCAAAGGCACATTAGTTTGATGATAATCAGCACTTATTAGAGAGACTGGTGGTAGTTTAACCCGAGGGTCACCATACCTCAGATGAGAGGATGAGCTGAGTAGGGTCCGTCATGGTAACCGCAGCCCATGTAGGAATTGAATCTGTTGTTGGTGTCACTCTGCATCGCAATCCAGCCAAATGAAACAAACAACCACCTGTACTATCCCACAACCAAGTTGCTCATACCCTCCTCTTACTCATTTTTCATGCCATTTATCTGAAATTAACAAAAATTTTCACCGTAACTAAATACTAGGAGGCTTCAAGCCCAGATTCTATGATTCATTAGTCTCTATCTTGATATTGGGAACATTTCCAAGATCCAAACCCACACATGACAGAAAATTAAAGATGGAATGAAACGTCCACTCCCACAGAATGGCAAGCATTACATAAGGCAACAGACTCAGTATGAGAGCTACAGAACAGCAGCAGGTAGAAGATTGAAAACACGCACCAACATTGATGTCATTGATAATAGCATCTTCACACATTATAGCAACATCATCCCCAACAGGCAGGGCAATTGGTGTTGTTGAGACCACCACTATTTTTCTTTTACTTTTCTCATTTTTGGTTTGGAAGAGTTCAAAGTTGAGAACTGAACTTTGAATAGCAGCTTGCTTTTTTAAAAAAAAAAAAAACATATTTGCTGTTGGGAGCTGGCCCATGAAGATAATGCAGGTTAATGGCTGTGCTAATGTCAATGTAGATGATTAAACACTGAGATGTTGCCTTGTTTAGCCAGAGAAAGCTGAAAATAAAAGAGTGAACCTGTTCCAACTGGGTTTTGGGCTGGTGGCAGTTTTGTTTTGAAAGCATCCAGGCTGGGCTGTTTTTGGTTTTAATCTCACTAGCTATTATCCAGTAGGAGTTGTTGAAAGTTCTGATAAAAGAAGCCCAGTCTAAGAAATAAGCAAAGTCTCCAGAAGCAGCTTGCATTGACCAGTAGCTTCACCATTTAAGCAAGATAGAGCCCTCCGTGCCTGTAATACAAGTCATTATCCAAATATCTCACAAAGGTTGACTATTCATCATTTAAATGGTTAACCTGGCAAATGATTATATATTTTAAATTCATCCCTTAAACGTGCCTGTTTGTGCATAGAAAGTACAATAATAGACCGAGATTTTATATTGCCTTGCTGTTCATATGGAAACTAGTTACACTTAAAACAATAATCAACAATTTATTGACTAAATCTGAGGGCTACAGTGTTTTAGTTTTACTGTGTTGGGAATCCTGAGATAGCAGCTGGTCTGGTTGGGTTTGGTATCTATATCATTAGAGTTGAGGGGAAACACTAAATGTGCAACATCAATCAGAGGCAGCCTTCGATTTGGTGCTGGATCTGATGGCAACCTCTCTAATTCCTGGGAGCTTATAGAAAAATTGCAGGAACAGCAGAAAACAAGCCCAGCAGCAACTATCACCATCACTAACCAACTGGAGTGGAGGTAGCACAGGTAAGCAGGCAGATATATTCATTTTTTAAAAAATTAATTCACAGGTAAGGGCATTACTGGCTAGGTCAGCATTTACTGCCGAACCCAGAGGGCAGTTAAGAGTCAACCTCATTACTATCCTTACCTGGGCTGGTCTAATAGGACTCCAGACCCACAACAGTTTCCTTCCCTCAAGGACAAAAAGAGAATCAGATAGGTTTTTCTGACAATCAACAATGATTCCATGGTCATCAATAGACTCTTAATTTAAATTTTTAATCCTACTGTGGCAGGATTTGAATTAGGGTCCCCAGAACATTACCCGAGTCTCGGGATTTACAGTCCATCAATAATACCACTATGCCATCACCTCCCCAAAGTCCTGGGGAAGGTTAAAAACAGTGGGAGGGGTTGAACCCACAGAATTAACAGGCTAGGATACAGCAGCTTTGGGAATCAGGAGCAATGTAGGAAGAGTTGGTGTTATAACATGGCGAGGGAGGCCAAGCTTGGATCAGAATGTCAGAAATCCAAAGTGCTTGGGGGCACAAGGCACAAATCTGTTGTCACTGCAACAATGAGTCTTTGCTGGCATTACAGCAGTTGATAAACATGGAGCACTGTTTGCCACTTGGTCATCTCAAACAAGACTGTGGGCTCTGTGGAAGATATCTTTGAATCCATCATAAATGCCTGTGTCAGGACTCAGTTTCTTAACGAGGAAACATCAAGACTAGTTTAATGAGAATTACCAGGAGCTACTTCATACCTGAACTGGAAAGACCACCGAAATCCCAAAAAAGGGAAGAAAGCAGGTCTGCAGACAAATCAAGACCAAGGGTCAGCAAAAAGTGATCAAATGAACAGATGGAGGACAAAAAGAATGCAATAAATCCATTATCTTATGCTGACAGGCATGACAAGTGAATCCTTCATGGTTTAAACAAAGTTCATTCATAGGATGTGGGTATCATTGGCTGGCCAGCATTTGTTGCTTGTCCCTAGTTGCCCTTGAGAAGCTGGTGATGAGCTGCCTTCTTGACCTGCTGAAGTAAACATTCAATGGGTTAACCCATCTTGCAGAGGGAGAGAATTCCAGGATTTTGACCCAGCAATAGTGAAGGAACAGCGATACATTTCCAAGTCAGGAAGGCTAGTGGCTTGGGAAGGAACTTTAAGGTGTTGGTTCCAGGTGTCTGCCCCCCTCGTCTTTTTAGATGGAAGCAGTCATGGGTTTGAAAGATGCTAAGGATCTTTGGTGAATTTCTGCAGTACATTCTGAAGCAGTATATACTGAGCGTTGGTGGCAGAGGGAGCGGATGCTTGCAAATAGTGCCAACCAGGCTGCTTTGTTCTGGGTGGTGTCAAGCTTACTATGTTGTTGCAGGTGCGCCCATCCAGGCCAATGGGGAGTATTTCATCACTCTCCTGAAGAATTTACAGCCCAAGCATCCAATGACCAACTCCACAAAACGAAAAAAAATAGTGGAGTGGCTCAAGAAAGCACTTTCAACCTTGGTCACATCCCACAACAAATTGCCCACCACCATCTCAGCAGAACTCTTGCCCAACATGGAGGTTGAAAATGCAACCGAGAACCAGGGTTACTAGTACAAAAGTAATTCAGACAAAAATACCAAAATACAGCAGAGAAACATTCTTGACATGAATACATGAAATTAGCTGGGAGAAAAAGGACATGCTGGTGGACCTTTCATGCCATTTTCTAGAAAACACTGATTGTAAATACTACAAAGGTAATTCATGCTTGCCTCTTGGAATCTCCCAAAGATGGAAATGGACCAGGGAACATTTGTTTCTTCCACATTTTCTCCATTCTGTTGTCACAATAAAGATTTTGCCCATTGCCTTAGTCTTCACCATTACTCGTATTCCCTAGTTACCAATTCCATCACTGAATTTAAACCAAATTCACCTTCAGGTTCTGATAGGAATTATAGACTCAACCGTAACTATTATTCTCTTCAAAGACACTGCTTAACCTGAGGCTTTTTTCTCATAAGTCTGTTGTCCAGTGACCAAAGCATAAGAATGCAGAATTATAGCCAATACTTAGAATTTCAGACAGAAAAAATGAATTTAAGGTACAGTAAAAAGTTAGTCTTGATTATCAACATATCAATTTAATGCTGACAAGAAGCCAACAATATAATTTCACCTGAATTTTACAAAAAATTCTGCAGTCTGGCAGCAGAGATAATGCATTAGAGTCTGATGTTACCACTCACTCTCCAAATTGGACTCAAAACATTAACTGTTTCTCTCTCTACAGATGCTACCTAACCTGCAGAATTTGTCAATCATTCGGTTTGTATTCCAGATAGCCAGAATCTACATTATTTTACTTTTATTTATCTGAATCTTTGTCCTTTTGGTTTTAGGACCTGTTTTAGTTCCTGAAAGCATTATAGTCCAGTAATAAAAAAAATGATTTTTGTGCTCCAAATTAAGTGAATTTTCTAAGCTTATGTCACCAGCAGGAGCATCATGTTCCAACCCTGCATTCAGAAAATTGTGCACAGTGTAATTTCATTTCCCAGATCTGCACAGAAGATGAAGCGTCTCACTAGAATTGGAAACATTTTTATTTGCATCAGGGACATAATACAAACAGACAAGTAGCTTTAAGACATATCACAATACATTACACAAGTGACACTTTTCAGTTGTTCACTGTGGAACATAATTGAAAAAACAAAAAAGTCACTAAAAACCTAAAAATACGCCATTACATAGTTTTAGTTGTTCTAAGATGCATTAGTTCAATTCTGCTGTTCAAGCCGAATCAAACAGAGAAGCCAAAAATCTTCAAAAACATGATTGGAATGTCCCATTTGGGAGTGTTTAATGTTTGAATGGGTAATCCTTATGCCCAACACACCTAAAAACAGAAAAAAAACAGTTTTAGTAATTCAAAAGGAATATTATAATTCACTCATACTAAAGGGGATTTTACATGCAGTGAATGAATACTACATTTGAACTTCACCCTAAAAAGATGAGCTTTTACACCAGAAACTCCTGCCAACCAAAGAACACATCTCCTCAGTGCATTTAGGACTGGTGTGAATACAGCAAGAAACTATACTGCTTTACCCAATCACAAGGGCCAGCACAGAATTCAATATTCTAACCGCTATGTTTCTGTAGTTGATTTGTTATTGAAGATACGAAGAGGTGTAGGCTGTTTGAACCTGTTCTGTCTTTTGGTACGATCATGGCTGATCACTATTTAGTATGCTGTTCCCACTTTTGCCCATATGTCTTGATCCCATTAGCCCTAAGCATTATATCCAACACCTCCTTGAAAGCATTCAATGTCTTGGCCTCAACCACTTTCTGTGGCAATGAATTCCAGGGGCTCACTACACTCTGGGTGAAGAAATTTCCCAACCAGTTGGTTTAACCATGTTATGCTTAATGTTAACACGCAGGAAGGAGGTGGGTCCCTTTGTATTATGTAGAGCAAAAAAATCTGCTTGTAATGGCCTGCTGTATTCTGACCCTGATGTAAAAGATGGTTCTGGTTATACCCTTCCTGTGCCTCAACGGCAAGGTTCATCATTGGGTTCAGCAGCCAGTCCGAGCCTCAGGAATCAACTGATGAACATTAGCTGGTGGACGGAACAACAGGAGAACTGGTATTACAAAAATAACGAGCTCATCATGTCAGCTCCATGAGTACATACCGCACAAATCATCTTATGGTGATCACACACTAAATGCACAGCGAAGGCATGAAGTAGCTTCTGATCAATTGTTTAGGTATTCTGATGGCAGTCTGATCATATCAAGTGCTTTAAAACCAAAAAGTACCAAGTTACACCTCCACACAAAATGTATCAAGTTTAGGTTGAAGGAAGTCCGGTTTGAGAGATCCTCTTATTTCCACATGGCTCAGATCAAGCTTGTCAGATTCACATTTTATACTGCATGCATCAGAATTCTCCAATTCTATTGGCTGTAGTTAATTTGCATATAGCTCTGGTAGTAATCCAGAGATTACCACCCACCAAAGCTTTATTAGTTCAGAATTCAGGTTTGTGGCTCTTGTGGTTCAATGATAATGTACCTATCTCTGAGCCAGAAGGCCTGGATTCAAGTCCCATCTGTTCCAAAGGTATGTACTCCATCTTTCCAACAGGTTGATTTGAAAATAGGGAATCGCCACAAAATCTCACTGGCTCCTCTGATATCTAATTATCATGAGACTCTTTTTCATCCAACATTTTCTCCAGCCATGAGGGAGGTCCTGAGTTGCACACTTTGGGTGGGCAACAGTATTCAGAACTCTCCATTGGAGAGCAGAATCTATTCTCCTGACTATACCAGTCTTATCTCAAACATTCCTTTTCATTCCCCTCAAGTGGCTTCTTGTAGAATAGTGCTATGGTCAGATTTTCATCAGAAATAAGTATATCAATTTGTTCACATCAACTCACCAATGCATTGGGCAGTATCTCCAGTCTCTGTTGAAGGAGAGGATAGTCTTCATTTCCTCATCACTCAACTCAAAATCAAGAACCTGCATTAAGCACAAAACCTATTTTTATAATGGGATACAAGGACTACAGAAATGTGGTGTAATACCACACGCTACCACTACCCAAGAGCAAGCATAAAGAATCTTTTAATTGGTAGCCCATTTAAAATAAATATTCAGACATACCAGTAAAGCTAGTGAGTAATCATGGCACCTTGGTCTTCAGAGGGATCCAAGATGGCCAATTTTCTAAGTTTTTTTAAACATCCCAAATTTCTCTCATCTTCAACTGAATGAAGTCTGGTACAGAATGAAGAAATTCCAAGTAGGTGCTGGTCCAACACATTTCAGTCCCCCTGTACCCCACTATGCCTCAGAATTTAGGAGATCCCCTCGCCTACCTGAAAATTTTCCCGAATGCGACTTTTGGTAACAGATTTTGGGATTACAATCAGACCTCTCTGAATCTGGAAACGGATCAAGACCTGAAAGAAAAATCCCACACAATCAGATCGAACTCACTTCGAACTACAAAGAGTGAAGGCCAATTACATTGACAATGAGGTTTACATTGCAGTCAAGCTCCCAGGAAGCATTTCAACTGGGATGAAACACCTACCTACCTGAGGCAATGGCAGAATGAGATGGTCTGATGCAGTGAATGGCAGCTGTCAAGCTGCTTGCAATGTTTTTTTTCTGCAGAGGGGTCTTTGTTTTTTGTGGAGAACCCTAGAACTTCCTGCCATTTAAGTTTGAATGCTGTAATTCAACAGGGAACCAGTAGTCAAAAATCAGAAAAAAAAAAGAAGAAACAATGGAGGTAACATTCCCTCTATTAAATAAACAGATGTGAGGTAGGCACATTTACTGGACAGCTAGCTTGCAATGTAGAGTGACAGCAACAACATGGGCTGAGGAGCTGGTTCCCTGTTGGATTCCAGTAACAGGCCAGGCACACTGTTCAAATCATCCACTCAAATCCTTCAATCTCTCTACAACTAGAATTTAATTTGAATATGCTGTCATATCGGAACTGACCATTATGTACATAAAAAGGGCTGAATTTAATGTCAGGAACTTGTAGCTTTGCAATGTTACAAAATGGATTTGATTTTTATAAATACACAATATATAGAAGTTACCTATTAATTAAAGCAGGTCCCGAAAAGGAGATTTACCCTAAATCCTAGTTGATTTTAATCCCTAAACTGATTCTAACATTCCCCTACATGAGCTTAAACGTTGAGATTTTAGGGTTCAGTGGCTGGAATGTATAAATGGAGGCAAATTTATTAAGTATTAAAACTTGCATAGCTAAACAATCGTAATTAACAGCAAAATTTAAAAAAAATTCAGCAGTTGAGGTATTGCAGTCATAATACCATAATTAAAAAGACAGACTAACCAGTCATTCAAGCCTGCTCTGCCAGACAATGAGATCACAGCTAATCAACTTGTCTTTTCCTTTATCGTTATATTCTCAAAATTCCTTAAATACCCAGAAAACTGCAGGCCTGCCTTGTATATATTCATTAACTGATCACCCAGAGTTCTTTGGAATAGAGCATTTCAAAAAATCTCAATACTTAGAATGAAGAAATTGCTCCTCATCTTTGTCCTAAATAGATGAACTCATATTGAGAATGCGATTCTTACTTTTCTAGACATGGCTGCCAGAAGAAATATTCACCCAGTATCTATCCTGTAATGTCCCCCAAGAATTTCACATGGCTTGCATGTTTCATTCTGAGGTCAATGGTTTAAGTTACTCAATCTTCAGACATCACTCCCTCACCCCAGTCCCTTATTAGGTTATTGCCAGGAACTAACCCAATGCAAATTTGCAAAGACTCAATGAATAAATGTTTCAAATATTTACAAAAAAAAGTCAAATAGACAACAACATTTTTATCATTATAAGCGTTAACAGCATCAAATGCAACTATTGCTACTGCACTCTGCTTCAGATTTAACAAATGCTGACATACTTGTGCTGTTGTTTTACCATGCCTTCGAGCTATATTTTGGAGAACAGGTTCCTCAAGAAGTGTAGGGTCGTCATTTTTTGCCCTAATGAGAAATGAAAAGGAAATGAATGCACGCAAGTTTGCACATTTCCAGGAATTAAAATCTTACCAATAGATTCACAATTGAATATTCACGTTAAGCAAGATCCTTTCATTGACAATCAGTAAGTGCAACCTTCATTAATGAGATAGCAAGAACAGCAGATGCTGGAGTCAGAGTCACAGTGTGGACCTGGAGGAACACAGCAGGGCAGAAGCAGATGAGTAGAAGTTCTGAAGGGTCTCAACCCAAAACATCGACTTTCCTACTCCTCTGATGCTGCCTGACCTGCTGTGTTTCTCCAGCTCCAAACTGTTGACACAATCTTGATTAATGCTGTTCCAAAAAAAAAAAAGGGGAAAGATAGGACAGCGACACTAATTGAATCATTCCTATAAAGAGCACCCAGATAAAACAAGCCGAATGGCCCCCTCCACTACTGCAGCAATTCTATGATTTGTACCTGCAAAGTGTGCGCGGCACAGTGATCACAGATTAGAGTAGCTAATACATTGTGTGAAAAACCTTGGTGCAGGTGAAAACACATCACTAGAGCATGGAGATGCCTTTGAGGCATTAAAAAAGGCTCGGACATTAATTAGACAGATTTCCAGGAGACAGAAAGAAACTGCAATGCAAGTTACAGAATAGATGATTATTGGCTATCAATCCACATTTACAAACATAAATCACAACATAATTAAAAAAAGAGAGAGAGGCAAGATTTGGGACCAACACAAGAAAGAAATACCCAAGGTAGAAGTCATGACTTGTGCAGTAAAGAAGCATTCTGCAAAGAAAAAAATACCAACTGAAGAACTACCAAATTGTGTTTGCATAACAAAGTGTAACCATGCTTAAGGCATATGTGACATACATGAACCCAAAGAATTTGGAAATGTCAAGTACAGTAGTTTTGCTGCTCTACTTTAAAAGGAAGTCATTAATAAAGTACAAACGTAAAGTAAAGTAAAGTTTTGCTTTCACAACCACCTTCCTTGGTACAGAAGACCAAGACCCCAGAAATTAAAATCAAAGCACGCACAACTCATACAAATTACTGAATATTTACAATCTCAGCAGCTTTTCCTGAAGTATATGGTGATTAATAAATTTATATCTTAAATACCACGGTCTATCTGGAGATCCCAGTGGGCTATAGGCAGTCACTACAATGCCATTTGAATGGCAATAGGAAATCAGATCTTCTTGAGCCAGGTAAGGGTGGCATTCAATCTATTAAAGCAACCAGAACAAGAAAAAGCTTCAGTAGGTCACTGATGCAGTTTTATAGAAGGAAACATTGCAGGCTGAGTGTTATTTAGGAAGCTGTAGTTAAAAAAAAAAAAATCTGGAATCCAATGATTTAATTGTCTCATCACCTGGTTGACTGCTGGTTTATGTTTCAGATTTGGTTTATTAAGGATCCGACCAATCTGCTGCTTATTAAAGTTGGACAGTCCTATAGCTCTAACCATTCCTTCATCGACTAAACCTTCCATACCCTGTGAAAGAAAAGTTATACTGTTCTTAAAAGTGATAATAATGCCTGATTAACAAAGGAATCTCTAGGATACAGTTAAACAGTGTAGGTAAAGTTAATGGATCAGCTTTTTTGGGATCGGCTGTTGGGATGGGGGGGGGGGGCGGCGGGGGCAGAAGGGATATTTGAAATGAGCATTAAATGAACTTGAAAGGAATAAAAGCATCTCTAGACATTTTTATTTTATTTAATTTTAAAATCAAAATATACATTTTTTCAATTTTGAATAGCTGAATTTTCATTTAATATGAAACCTGAGAATTAAGTTTAAGACTTACCTCCCAGGTGTCAAGAAAATCCGTGTCACTTGGTATTATCAAGTCATTCTCATCCAAAGGAAGATTCTCACCACCAGCCTTAAAAGAGATGTTTAAACATCATTTAAAACTACATTCCTGACATCTACCAGAGAACAGAAACTCTAGTGCAGGAAAGAAAGGTTGCCAAGTAAGATATGACAAAAGTTGGTGAATGGAAGAGAAGATTTATTTATTAGCAAAAACTTTCACTCATGAATTTTGTATATGCCACAAATCAGTCCACAGATCTTACTTCTACAATATTTTCAAAACTAAGATGATCTTTTAGATTCATGGGTCTCAGTAACTTTAAACAGATATATAGCACACTGGCTGATTGGGGCACAGGTTTCCTGTGCTCCTCCCGAACTCCCCCAGTCACATACTCTTTTGTGGTATGCCACTGCTATCCATAATATTCACTCAACCTTCCTTCTGCTTCAACTGGTAGTTATGATTGCAGCTGATGGTACTACTGGACAAGTCAGATCCCACAATAAAATCTGGCTTGACAAATCATTCAGTTTTTACTACTTCAGTTAGTATGGTGGTCATTCACTGGAAGTCACCAGCCAACAGATTTTCTTTGACAACAGAACAGAAGCTCATTACACAAAAGGCAAAAAGAAAGAAACGATACCTAGATACACAACACCAACAGAAACAAAAAATCTCGATACATTCAGCAAATAAACTTCAATTTATTCCCAAGACCATTTTACAAAAATTCAAGTCCAGAGAAATTAGCTCTCTATAAATACTGAAGTTTGTGGTAACCAGAGAATCAGCTACAATCTCCTACAGGCAGTGGGAAAGAAGCTCAATTCTGTCAGCTGGTTCCGAGCAGAATGCCTGAATCACCAGAACTTGCTAAAAAAGGTGAACGAGACTCTTGTCAACATCTTTTCAGGTGTACAGATATGGCTATTGCATCACAGACATTAATGGATTGCAGTGTATTTCTGTATGAAAAGTTCAGGAATGTTCAGGATCAAGGAGCTGGACTGCACGCAACAGGCTTATACCCATATGTCACAAGGTATGCCAAGATCTAATAGTGCAGCATTCATATTCCCTTCCTTATAGCCATCCCAGTTAAACCAATAGCCTTTATACCAAGGTCCCTACTCAACCAGGCTACACAGGTGTACACCACCAGCATTCACTAACTTTAATGGTTTGATATGCTCAACATTGTGTTTCGTCACGGTGATACAATAGGAAGCTGAATATTAATGAGATGAAATTTACAGTTAATGAAGTGGGTAGAAATAGTAACCCCCATTAACAGGCATCTTGCTGCTGCCAAGTGAGAATCTTGTTTCGACATCTAGAACTCCATTCAAAAATGAATCAATGCATTTTTACCACAGCCCATGTTGGTCAGGGCCATAAGATTCCACACAATCTTACTATTTTCCTATACTTTGATTTCCAGAAGACCTTCCAAGAGGTGCTGCATGGAAGGCTGCTAAATAAGAGCTCATGGTCTTCTAGGCAAGATCCTGGCAAGGATAGAGGATTGGCTGACTGACAGACAGCAGAGAGCAGGGAACAAGGATGGCAACCAGGGACTAGGGACCACAACTAATCACTTTCTTCATTAATGATCTGGATGAAGGAACTGATGACACAAAGGTAGGTCAGAAGGCTGCCACTAAAGAAACGGTAGATGGATTTCAAAGAGGGACCTTGAGAAGTTATGCATTTTGATAGACAATGCCTCCATTCTGCCTATTTTCTAAATGGGGAACAGCTTCAGAGATGCGAAGTACAAAGGCACTTAAGGAATCCTCCTTCAGGATTCTAAGGTAAACATGCATGTTCTGCTAGCAGTTAGGAAGGCAATGTCAACATTCATTTCAAGAGGACTGGAATACAATAGCAGGGGTGAACTACTGAAGCTGTGCAAGGCTCGGGTTAGACCGTATTCGGAAATTGAGCACAGTTGTGGGCTCTGTATCTAAGGAAGGTGGTGTGGCATCTGAGAGTCCACAGGAGGTTCACAAAAATCATTCCAGGGATGAAGAGCTTGTCATGAGAAACAATTGAGGACTCTGGGTCTGTACTCTCTGGAGTTTAGAAGGATGAGTGGTGGTGGCGGCAGTGGGTGGGTGATTGCATTGAAACACTCAGAATACTAAGGGGTCTGGATAGAGTGGAACGAAAACAAATTGCTGGAAAAGCTCAGCAGGTCTGACAGCATGTGAAGAAAAAAATTCCAAGTTAACGTTTCAGGTCTGATGACCCTTCCTCAGAAGTATTCCAGCCAGTCTGAGGAAAGATCACCAGACCCAAAACGATAACTTGGATTTTCTTCTTCAGACGCAGCCAGACCCGCTGAGCTTTTCCAGCAATTTGTTTTTCTTCCTCATTTACAGCATCCGCAGTTCTTTCTGTTTTTACTGGATAGAGTAGACATGGAGATGTTGTTTCCACTAGTAGGAGAGACTAGGACCTGACGGCACAGCCTCAAAATGAAGGGATGACTCGAGAACTGATTTGAGGAGGAATTTCTTGAATCTATGGATCTCTGACACAAAAGGCAGTGGCTGCCAAGTCGAATGTATTTAAGATGCAGATAGATCAGTTCTTGATCAGTAAGGGAATCAAAGGTTATGGGGAGAAGGCAGGACAATGGGGGTCAGAAACATATCAGCCATGATCAAATTGTGGAGCAGACTCAATAGGCCCAATGTCCAATTCTGCTCCTATACATTATGGTCTCAAGACAGATCACAACTTTCACACTTCTCCCTTAACCTCTACTATTTTAGTTTAAATAATTTCTACATCCTAGTTATGCAAGCTGGGCAAGTTGGAGGGAATCCTGACAGACAGGATTTGGAAAAGCAAGGACTGATTAAGGATAGTCAACATGGCTTTGTGCATGGGAAATCATCTCATGAACTTGGTTGAGTTTTTTGAAGTAGTAACAGAGGATTCAGGAGAGCAGGATGGTGGAACATGATATATATGGACTTCAGTAAGGTGTTCGACAAGGTTTCTCATGGTAGACTGATTAGCAAGGGTAAATCACATGGAATACAGGGAGAACTAGCCATTTGGATACTGGCTCGAAGGTAGAAGACGGAAGGAGGTGATGGAGGATTGCTTTTCAGACTGAAGGCCTGTGACCAGCCATATGCCACAAGGAACAGTGCTGGGTCCACCGCTTTTTGTTATTTACATAAATGATTTGGATGTGAACATAGGAAATATCATTAGTAAATTTGCAGATCTCACCAAAATTGGAGGTGTAGTGGACAGCAACAGTTACCTCAGTTCAATAGGACCTTGATCAGATGGGCCAGTGGGCCATGGGTGAGGTGCTGCATCTTGGAAAGGCAAATCAGGGCAGGACTTGTACACTTAATGGTAACATCATAGGGAGTGGTGCCGAACAAAGAGACACTGGAGTAGAGATTCATAGTTCCCTGAAAGAGGAGTCCCAGCAATATAGGATAGTCTGGTATGCATAAAAAAAAGTTGTCTGACCAGCTGAGTGTTTCCTGTGTTACATGTGTTAAATACTGTACAGAGACTTTAATTCCATCTTACCTTCCTTAGTATTGCAGTTTCCCTTCAGTTGAAAGATCTCCTGATTTAACTCAGAGTTCCTTCTCCATTTCTCCTTGTTGTGCCTGCATGTTTGCCTTTACTGGTCAGGACATTAAGCGTAGGAGTTGGGAGGTCATGTTGCAGCTGTACAGGACACTGGTTAGTCCACTTATGGAATACTGCATTGAGTTCTGGTCTCCTTGCTGTAGGAAGCATGTTGTGAAACTTTTCTGAACCCTTTCAAGGATATTGCCAGGGTTGGGGGGAGTGGGGTTTGAGCTATAGGGAGAAGCTGAATAGACTGGGGCTATTTTCCCTGGAGCATCACAGGTTGAAGGGTGACCTTTTAGAGATTTAAGAAGCATGGATATGGTGAGTAGCATGATCTTTTCCCTGGGATAGGGGAGTCCAAAACTAGAGGACAAAGATTTAAAAGGGACCAAAAGGGCATCTTTTTCACACAGAAGGTGCTGCATATATTGAATGAGCTGTCAGAGGTGGAGGAGGAGACTTGGAGGGTATAACTATAACATTTAAAAGGCATGTGGATGAGTACATGAATAAGAAGGGTTTAGAGGGATATGGCCTGAATGCTGGCAAATGGGATTAGATTAATGTAGGTTATCTGGTTGGCATGGATCAGTTGGACCAGAGGCCATGCTCTACAGCTGTGACTATATTACAACAGCACTGATTTGAGCGTAGTTTAGGAGTAGACCCTCCCACCACACAGCCCCTTCTTTCCTCATTACTAGTGCCTGTGCCACACACACTGGAATAGAGATATCAGCAAGCACAACCTACTTCAAATTCACTGGACAATTGCAGAGACTCACACTTGCCTCTGGGTCCCCTTAACTGCCTCATTCAGTCACTCAGATAGCAAGAACCGCAGATGCTGGCGTCAGAGACAACAGTATGGAACTGGAGGAACACATCAGGCCAGGCCGCATCAGAGGAGCAGGAAAATTGATGTTTCAGGTCAGGACCCAAAAGTGAATGATGAGGAACTGAAGAAGTTGCAGGCAGAGTGAGAAATGGAGAAGGAACTGGAGTTAAATCAGGAGATCTTTCATCTGGAGGAAAACTGCAACGCTAAGGAAGGTAAGATGGAATTAAGGTCTCTGTACAGTATTTAACCCACGTAATACTCAGGAAACACTCAGCTGGTCAGAATGTTTTATGCAGGTAGTACTAAGGGAAATGCTCAGCAGGTCAGACAGTATCTGGAGTATTTAATTCAGGGTAAACTCAGGGAATTAACTGTTCGGATGGTATCTGGAGTATCTTACCCCCCTACTTGGTAATGATTTGGGAGTTAGAAGAATCTAAAGAAAGACGACTTCCATAGTGGCAGTTCTAGTTGTTCAGAGACTTGGAACAATTTGTGTTTGATTTTCCCTAACCTACATTTGTGGGGGAAAATTCCTAACTTCCGTGGACAGGCCTTCGTGCTGTTGCCCTTCGTTGTAATGTGCCACATTGATTTCACTGGA